GATACCCTGAACCTGGCAGCCTCAGGTTGAAACCAGACAGGTGCACACCTAAAAACCTGGAGCCCTCCCCCCGTCCCCACCCTCCGCGGTGCTACAACACCAAAAATAAGATGAGCCATTGTAGGAGCGGTGGGAAGTAGAGTGCCATAGGGACCTAAATAATTACATACATTATTTCGGGGGCTCCTTATTATAATTATAACTATACGTACTATAAAGGACCCCAACACCCTATTCTAATTATTAAGGTCCCTATATTAGAGTTCTCTTCGCGAGGTTGACATCACCCCCTGAAACTTCTCAGTGCTTCCAAACGCTTCGATGATGGGGCTTTCGGCTTCCAAAGGCTAGCGCACCCAGCGACTTCCTCAAGGCTCCCGGCTTGAGTACTAGAGGGGTCTGAATAATTAGAATAGGGCTTGGGGGGCAAAGAAGACTATAATTACAATACGGATCCCCCAAAACCGTCTTCCAGTTACTAAGGCCCCTACATTCATGGGAGATTGGGAGTTTTTGGTGTTAGGGTTGAGAGTGGAATGAGCTTTAGTCAGTTGTATTTGCAAGTTTTTCGGTGTCTCGCTGTACATGCGACAAGGCTTCCGCTGGGCGTTTATCAACTCAACTAGGTTCGGGCTTCATGCTTTGTAGCTTAATCTGGGGAGAGACATGACAGTGAAACTTTTTGAGAGTCCAAGGCTCAACGACTGCCGTCTGGTTGTCGGTATCCTCCTCTTGCCTCCAGCCCAGCAAAGGTCCAGGGCTGCGGAGTCGTCAGGCTCCATTTTGGAAACCGGCTTATCGCTACGAGGCTTCCGCATTTTCCCGGCTCTTCCCCAAAACATCTACTCAACTGGGATTTGGGGTTCGGGGTTTAGGAGGTTAGGGTTGCTCATCTAGACCTGGAGGTGTAGCACGAGCAATCTGACACGAGGTGGTAGGTTGTCTCGCGGCCCCCAAATTGGGGGTTTTGGGGCTCAGGGTGACAAACTCAGCCAGAGCTTGACAAACCTTGAAGACGTATGATCGGACCCATGACACCTGATCTAGAGGAATCTTGTTCAAACTCGCATGCCAGACCTTCTAGGATTGCTACGCCCTAAAGCATAATTTAAGGCCAGATACTTCGTTGCATTCCTTGTAATCAATACTGGGCCGTCGGAGAACCCCTCCTACACAACACTGATTCCTCAACTCAGAGCTTTGATGCACTGTCTCCGAGGGCGGCGCTCTTCCGCGGGACCTCGCGCGACGAATGACAGCCTCGGCTCAGCACGGGATCGGATTCGGCTGAGGGTGTGCTGGGAAACTCAAGCCGTCACTTGGGTTGGCAACAAAAGACATGCTTACCGTCCGCCGTGTAGCAGCAGCGCCAGACTTAACAGGAAAATGCTGAAAGTGCTTAGCGCTCAATGTTTTCATGACTGCTTCACACATAAACATGCCAATGCAGAACACGGCAAGCCCGATACCCACATGGACTTGTCGAGCGATCATGTTCGAACTGTGTTGTGGCTAACTCTGCCAATTCCAACACCATCGCATACGTGAAGGAACAAACCGCCAAAGGCTAGAACCCTCAACTACTCAGGAGCAGAGTCCTACAGCACTCAAAGGATGAAGCCCTAAGCAATGCTGAACAACTTACCCAACAACTTTTCAGGGGCAGAACCCTAAACCAATCAAGAGTCTGGTCCAAGCAGCAAGACACTCAAGACTGTGCAGATTTTTCCTTGCTCAGCGCTCATGGCCTCTTGGAAGTGGTACGTTTCCCTCCGCTTCGGCTCGTGTTACTGGGCGCCCCGTTCTTGCAAGGGTCCTAGACGTTGGGACAGGCATTTGTGCCGAAGGAGGAGGAAGCCCAACGGAAGGTGGGCACATACCCGGCAGAAACGTGCTCATCTGCACGGCATCACTTGAAACTCGCAGGACGGAGGGGGCTCCAAGATTCCTTGGCGCATTTTGTAGACAAACCCCTGGTGATGGTGTTTATCTGGGGTGGAATCTGTGAAGCCCGGTCGACTCGATGACTCTTTTGAGACGACTTGAGACTCCATGCCGCAAGCTGAATCATGAGCGGTGCGAACGTACATCAAACCTGGCCATTGCTAAGGGTGATATGCTGAAAACAATACAAGACTACGATTTCCGAATCCTTCTGCCGCTGTACCGATCCATGGGCCGAACACGGCTGTGCTGTGCATCGCGCTGTTCAACACACAGTACTCCGAAGGGATTTCATGGTGTTCATCAGCGCGGTTGACTGTACATGGGTGCCTGCTCATTATACAACAACGCCGTCACTTATATCCCGGCCCGCCGCAAGATGGGCACGTGATGGTCTGCAACACATTGCGACAGGTGTAGGTCCCCAATCCCGGGTTGCCACAGTTCTGGCACACGCTGTGGCCGGGTGCCTTGAACATGCACCACGTGCAAGGGAACATTTCGGTCACCGTTCCAGAACCGCCACATCTCGAACAAATGGGAGCCGAAACGAAGAAGGGTCCTGGCCAGTTTTGACCTGGGCTTTCTTGTCCTGGACGGGCCTGAGAATCACCATGGCTGGCAAGGCTGTCGCGGTGAACGGTGTTCTTTGGCAGCTTTGTTTGTCGCTTGAGCAATGCTCCGAAGCAATCAAGCATACTCTGCAGCGTAAGGCAGAACCACATGCAAACATGAAGCCTGCTCTGCTGTGCGCAGCATTCGGCAGCACAATGCCGTAGTAGCCCGCGTCACTGATGGTCTCGATATGGGTAGTTTTCTAAATTAGGGTCCCTTTTAGGGTCCTTTTTATAAGGGTGCCGTACTATATTGGGGACCTAAAAAGGGATCCTAATTTAGAGAACTACCCTTATGCTAAACGACACTCTGCAGCTCCTATCTCTGCCCGTAGCTGTGAGAACGGTTGGCACTGCGGCCAAGTTCAAAATGAAGGGGCTGCCGGTGACCTATACCGAGATCGCTAGTATGTAGGGGGAGTATAGGACTCGCCGGTGAACGGATAGGCTAGTACTAGGCTAGTGGTATTATCGCCCAAAACGGGCAAAGGTTCCGCTAATCTACAAGAAAGACTCTGAGACTCTTTCGTACCCTCGACTCCAGACCTGAAACACATAAAACCGAACCCATAAAACCAAGCAAAGGTTTATGGTATATGCTATTGTTTTATAGTATGCGAGAGCATATATATATATATA